GTGTGTGTGTGTGTGTGTGTGTGTCCTATGGACTCCAGCTCAGCCCCAGCCTGCTGTGTTTGGGCTTGTGTGGGGACGAGTATGACCTGGGGGAGGGTGGGGTGGGTGGGGGCGGATGGGGCAGGGGCAGGGTCCCTCTCTGCCTTTGTTTAACTCTTTGATACTTTGTCCCTCATAGATATGTTTGGGCCAATTTTGGTGATTAAAACACATTGCCATTAAAAAAATATCGCCTTAAAATATTATTTATCTCCATTGCAAGGTGGGTTTTTTTTTTTTTTTTTGTTCCTTTTACATTTTGCAGCTTGCCTCGCGCTCCTCCCCGTGGTCCTGGCCTGAGCGCCAGGTGCTGTGCTGTGTGCCCCACACCCAGTCCTGCTCCCTGATGCCCGCGCAGGGCCCCTGCCAGCAGCAGGAGGCACGTGAGCTGCTCTGTTGCTCTCCCCCGGTGGGCAGGGCCTCCCCGAGGGGATGCCAGGGGAAGCCATGGGTCAGAGTGGCCCGTGGGGGAGAGGCAGGAAGGGGACTGACCCCCCCCCCGGTTCTTCCCATCTCCCGTCTTCCCTTGGACCAAACTCCCCGCATTGTTTGGCCGCCAAACGCAGGTCACTGCAGGAAAGCGTTCTACCGGGGCTGGAGGAGGCTGGAGAGGCCAGAGGCCCAGGGACCACGGCTGTTTGTGAGTTGCTGTGCCGGACAAGGCTGTGACTCCCCGGGCGAGGGCCTGGCGGGGCCCTGCAGTGATGGGGTGAACAGTGACATGTGTTCAGTGCCCAGAGTTCTCTGCTATTTGCTTTTGTTTGTTTTGTTCTTGTCTTCTGTCCTGTTTCTAGTGTAATCGGTGGGAAATTAAGCTGCAACGGACTCTGCCTTCTTCCCCTGAAGTTTAAGTTGCACGGAAACGACGATCAGCATCTAAATGAACGCAAGTTGGGTCTACGCTGTAGTTGTGAACATAAAGGCCGTGGAGGGCTGTTGGGCCTTTGGTGCCGGAGCGGGAAGGAAGTTATCCCCGTCAATGCGTTTCAAGGGGCCGGGAGAGAAGTCGTGTTCTGTTCACAGGCTCCACATTTATGTTCAGTGTGTCAGATACGCGTGGATTTGCAGGGAGATGTGAAGAGATGTGTGTTAGGAACAGCATCACGATGTCAGAATCGTGAGCTGCGTTTTCTTCTCTGTTCTAGGCTGTCCCCAGCTGTTCCCGGCCGTCCCCGGCTGTCCCTGGCCCCAAGAGGTCACAACAAGGCTGAGTTTGGCCTCTGCCCTCCCTGGGTGGGCGGGCCTCACAACCCCAGGTCCGCAGGAAGTGCCCGTTCAAATCTTGCAGCTACTTGGAATTTTTAAAGTGCATTGCACACACACTTCCTGGGACGTTTCCAGGGCCCTTGGGGAAGGTCGGACTGCAGTTGGCGTTTCCGTGGTGAGTGGGGAGACCCAGCAGGTGTAAACTCGCCCAACCTTCCTGAGACATCCGTGTTCAGCACTGAAGCCCGCAGAGTCCCAGGTCATTACCGACCATTGCACTGACCGGAGCAAGATGCTAAATGGAGAGCGAGGCTGCACGGCTGTGAGGGCAGCGGGTGACTCCGAGCCACCCCGGTGCCATCCACGAAGTGCTCTGGCCGGAGGGAGGGAGGGCTGGGGCTGTTCTCACGGATGCAAATCAGAGGAAACCTCAGGTTGCCTGGAGTGGAGACGCTTTCCCCCCCACTCCCCGGTCAGCTCTGCCTGAAAGCGGGTGCCAACTCCACCAATCCCACCCCCACGAGGAGGCGGGGGAAGACGCACTGGGGTCGGCGGCGGGGCGCGGTGGTGTTTCACGCGGTCCGTGTTTCACGCGGTCCTGAAACCGCAGGCTCGAACCACTGTCCGGAGGCCCCGTGGAGGCAACTCTCGGCCGCCCGGCTGCGAGA